TTCCCTAGGCAATTTATTCCACTGCTTATCTTCCCTCATCGTTTGGAAGTTTTCCCTACTGTTCATCGTAAATTTCCCTTCTTGCAATTTAAGCCCATTGTTTGTTGTTTTCTCCTTGGAGGTTAAGGAGAACAATTTTTCATCTTCTTCATTGTGACAATCTTCTATGTACTTGAAAACTGTTATCATGTTTTCCAATCAGACTTCTCCAGACTAATCAAACCATTTTTTCCCCAATCTTCCCTCACAAGTCATGTTTTCTAGATCTTTTATCATTTTTGTCACTCTTCTCTGGATTCTCTCCAATTGTCCACATCTTTCCTGAAATATGGCACCCAGAATTGGACACAATACTCCAGCTGATGCCTAATTAGCAGAAGAATTGCTTCTTGTATTGTGCTTACAAAATTTCTGTGAATACATCCCAGAATAATGTTTGCTTTATTACAACAGTGTTACACTGTTGACTTGTGATCCAGAATGACCTCCAGTTCTCTTTCCACATTTTTTCTTGCTAAGCAGTCATTTCCTATTTTGTATGTAGACAGCTGATTGTTCCTTCATGAATGGAGTACTTTGCATTTCTTCTTATTGAATTTCATCCTTTCTTCTCCAGTTTGTTCAGATCATTTTGAATTTTAATAGTATCTGCCAAAGCACATGCAACCCCTCCCAGCTTTGTATTTTCCACAAACTTTGAATTTTAATAGTATCTGCCAGAGCACATGCAACCCCTCCCAGCTTTGTATTTTCCACAAAATTTATAAGAGTCTATTCTATGCCATTATTTGATGATGATATTGAATAGAACTGGACTTAGAACTAATCACCAAAGGACGCTAGTCAATATGATCTGTGAATAGTCTTTTTCTTCCTGAATAAAACTACTCTTAGGGTAAGAAATTGTGTGTAACTAGTTTCAGAGAATATTAAGCCTAATTGGCATGTTTTATTTTGCTTACTAACTTTGATCTGTCTGTTATCACTTGCAACCACTTAAATACATCTTGTTATATTTAATAAAATCACTTTTGATTATTAATGAACCCAGTGTAAATAACTATTAGCTGGGGAGTATAACAATTGTGCATATCTTTGATAAAGGGTGCAAACTTATGCTCTGTGTAGAACTAGCAGTGTAGGAAGGATTTATCTGAGATTTTGATCCCATTGGAGCTGTGCACCTGCATACTGTGTTAAATCCCTGTGACTAAGTCTTCCCAGAGCTGAACTATTCTCAGAGTTTGTGCAGGTCTTCTGTAGGCTGGCTCCCCTAGCTCTGCGCCTTTGGCCGGGGGGTGGGGGGCAGGAGAACAAAACTTCGAGCTCAGCAGGACAGGGTGGTGGGGCACACCAGAGGGCAGGTAGGTGGTGTGATTAGCCCATCAAGTTACAGACTCAAGGACTATGTCTACACCGCAGTGTTATTTTGGAATAACTAACGTTATTCTGAAATAACATAGTCCGTGTCTACACAGCAAGCAGGTATTTCGACATAATGTCAAGCTGGAGGACTTCTTACTCTGACTTCTGTAAACCTCATTTTACGAGGAGTAAGGGAAGTCAGAGGAAGAGTGCTTTACCTCGGACTTCCTGCTTTGTAGACAGTGCCAAAAGCCAGAATAAGCTATTTCAATTCATGCTATGCAACTGATGTAGCTCAAGTTGCATAGCTTATATCGGCCTGAGCCCTGCTGTGTAGACATGCCCAAGGGGATCTCTGTGTCCCAGTCTGTCACATCATGGATTCACAGATATTCAGGAATACTTAGGGAAGGATAGGTAGACTGACTTCTCTCCTACATCTGTTACCACTGGGGTTTGGAACTGATTGAATTCATTCTCCCTTTGTGTGAGACTGAATTAGTTCTGCTCTTATGATGTTTCTGGCAGAAGGTTGGAGAAGAAAAATATTTCGGAGATTGAGTCTTTCTGGTTCTGAATAGCAAATGCCTTTTATAGTGAGTCTGGTTAGTCATTTTTGTAAAGTTTTGTAAATCAAGATCTGAGCAATAAAAGTTGGCAGGCATAAGCACTAGTTTCTGTGATCCGGGTCACATCTCCGGCTCCCTGCAGCACTGTGAATGAAGTTCAAAAATCTTGTCCTTGCTTTTAAGGTTCTACATCATAAAGTTCCTGTCTAGATACCTTTCCTGGCTGTTTAGCATTCTTCTCTTTAACCTCCCCACATGCAGCCAATCCACCAGTTATACCAGCCTGGATTCTCATTTCATCTGCTTTCATAAAAGGTTTTTTTGCCTTCTTTCATGCTGCCACTTGCTCACTAATCACTATTCCAAAATATTTTGGAATCTTTTGCCTTATTCAGATCACTTCTAAATCATATTATTGGTGCATTATCTACAAAAAAGGATCAGGTCTTATGCTCAAAATACAAACTAACAAAAATATGTTGAACCACATTACATATGTATATCTAAACCCAAAGGCTTTATCTCTATAATCATATCCTTAATCTCTCCTTCCCAACGTATGTTGCAGCTTCACTGTCAGATCCATCATCCTGTCTTGAGAATTTTTGGCCAGGGACTTTTTCTTTTTTAGTTCCTTTGCAGCACATGGGAGTATGTATTATTATTTTATTGTCTAATACTTATATTGCATCTAAAAGCCACAACCAGGCACTATATAAACATATATAGTAAATGACAATCTTTGCTTGAAAAAGTTTATAGTCTCCCAAGACAAGACCTAAAAGGTAGATGGATAAATAAGACTGGGGTGGGGGAAATGGGGTAAAAAATACATATTTATGAGTACAGAGAAATAACAGTAGTTATGATGCAGTTGTGATGTCAAACTTAATGTTTACCAGAAGCCAATATCTGAAATCAATAGGGCAATTTGCCACTTTAAAACTGTGGAAGCTTCTGAAAAAGAAAACCTGCCTAAATCACAATACCATCCTTCCATCCCGTCCTGAAGTCTTCCTGGTGTAGGGTCGATTGTTGAAATGGAAACTAGATGTTACTAGAGAGAAACAGAATGATTGCCTTCCCCCAAAGTGTGGGAAACTAATTATTTCTTATACATCCAGTTGTACTTAGGAGTTCCATTTCTCTATTCAATAGAGGAATGGGGCTGGAAATTTAAAAAAGACCAAAGCCTTGAGTACATTTCATTGGACTATAAATTGTGTAACAATTTTCTGCCACAGTATACTCCCTTCAAGTGTAAGCAGATATCTGCATAATTTTAGATCACCAGCTGCAAAGATTCCTTAGTAACTTAGTGCCAGAAAGTGTCTCCACTTGCCCTACTTGGTACACAATAAGACAGTAGATCCAGAGTTAGAAGGCACCCTTTAAATGAGTTTAGATGGTTTCTTTTTTGTAACCTTTAAAGGGTTTTCTTTCCTTCAGCCAAATTAGAAGTATTTTCATTCTGATACACAAATACATTTGAGAAAAAGACAGACATCAAAGCAGCACACTCCTGATCCACTGGATCTGTTTTATTGGCAGGAAAACTAACTCTGCCTGCCTGGGTTGGTGCATAAGAAACCAGAAGAAATAAGTGTTTTAATTTGGGCTTCATTTAAAACAAAAAGGGAAAAATCAATGTTGACCAAACAGAAAATAACATCTTTTAGGAAAAGTAATATAAATATATTTTGGATTTTAAGAGCTAGAAACTATAAATAAAAAGTAACAGTAAAAATGACTTGTCAATCTCCAGCAAAGTCAAACTATGTTTTTGTGGTTCGAGGTGTTCAGCTTTAGTCTTTTGCTTAGAAAAAGAAGAAAAAAATACTCATGTTTAATTTTAATCTGTGGATTCTAGGCTACCTTACCTAGATACAAATGGGTATTTGGTGTAATTATGATACAGTATTCATAGATGTAATTCAGGGGTGTGTGTGTGTGTGTGTGTGTGTGTGTGATTTCCCCCCCTTCCCTCTTTCTGATTGCATCTGATTCTGTTCATGGACTCTGTAGTGTGTGTGTGTGTGTGTGTGTGTGTGTGTGTGTGTGTGTGTGTGTGTGTGTGTGTGTGTGTGCTCCCCCCTCTCTCTCTCTCTCTCTGTGTCTTTGGTGTAATTATGATACAGTATTCATAGATGTAATTCAGGGGTGTGTGTGTGTGTGTGTGTGTGTGTGTGTGATTTCCCCCCCTTCCCTCTTTCTGATTGCATCTGATTCTGTTCATGGACTCTGTAGTGTGTGTGTGTGTGTGTGAGAGAGAGAGAGAGAGAGAGAGAAAGAGAGAGCATACCTATTCTTCTAATGGAATAAAATTTTAAAGATAAAAATTCAGCAGTATTATTTTTCCTTACCTTTTCATAAAGGGTTTCATTAATCCTGCCATAAGATCTCAAAAAGGTGACTGGAGGGAATATGTACTTTGATTAATATTTGTTTAATGCAGGATTTCTATATTACTCAGATGTTTTATTCACATTAAAACTGTGCCTATCAGCTCATTTTCAGGTTGACTAATTGGATATAGTTGAATGAAAAAGATGAACAATTAGTGCACTAAGTGACTTTAAAGCTTGCTGAGGGGTAGAAAAATACAATATATAATGCACCTTTCCTGGTCCAGTATTCCACACCTGAGGTTTAATGTTCAAAAGCTTTCCCAGTGCCATTATTTAGATTTCTGTTTTGTTTTATCACCAGGAAAACATTAGACTTTCTTGCCTTATGGATGAAGGTAAATTGAGTTTAGGGAAAAAACTCAAATCAATGCAACCATGCAAAATGATGAGTCTAGTTAGTCATATCATAAATGTATATTTAAACTGAAAATTTGACATGCAATACAAATATTTCATTCTTGGATATAATACAGGATGTATCATGTGATCACTGCTAATTGAGAGTACAAGTCATTTATCCATCTTTGCTCATGTGAAACAAAGTCTAAGAGTGGATAGGACACTCATCTCAAGGCATGACCTGTTTTTGGAAATAGACCATAATATTTTCATCCATAACAGAGGAAATTCTAATTCTGCCTTTCTCTGTGTTTCACAGATACATTATCCCCGCCTTGCAGAGGTCTCATGCTGGGTTTTATCAATGTGTGGTGCGGAACAGAATGGGGGCCCTCATGCAAAGGAAATCAGAAGTTCAAGTGGCATGTATGTTATCTTGTAACCTTGCTAACAAACCAATGAAGTTCTTAAGTCTAGAAAGAACAATATAGCAGTAATGTTTGTCAGTTCATTACTGGTATCTCTTGAGATAAGTCATATATTTACATATTATTATATTGCAAGAATTTTCACATTGACAGTGGTTGCTACCTGGGAGCAAAGTTCAGACTGGAGCAGTGTGAATTGTTTGCAGCAAGTATTGAATCACTCAAACTGAGACTGGATCACAAGCTTTCTATGCTTTATATTCCAAATCCCATGGGTCTTTTTGCACAGCCAGTAGTGTCCCTCTACTTACAATTGCAGCAGACATAATCAGACTAATGGTTTCAGAGGGAAGACAATATTTTGTGGCTTAACTATGGAGAAATGAGCCCTTCAAAAAAAATGGCACAGACACAGAAAAGTGAGTTAACAGTTTAAAGTCACTTACAGCAGAGCTTTTAGTGTGTAAGAAAGAAAGAAAGAAACTTTGACAACTTGGCAAGAAATGAGAATTTAGTGGAAATCCATAAGGATTTTGAGACATGGTGATTATGGCCAGGAAAGACACCATGCTGAGAGGGACAGATTGTCTTCACCAATGGATCAAAACATACGAAGAGGAACTTTGAAGTTGATTTGCTATGTAGTTCATATAAAATGCAGGCAACCACTGAGTGTCATAATTTCTATGTCCTCCAACTTTAGCAGTCACTTTTATTTGTGATACCTTACTCTGGTAGGGAAGGATGGAGGAAAGATGTGTCCCAATATAGATTAATGTGAACACTCTCTTCTCACAGGAGTATTGAGAAAGGCATGTGGTACTGTCAGGGCCTTGCAGAAGGAATCCTACAGAACTGCCTCACTAACATGCTAAGCCTAGAGGAGTGTTAGCTGTCCCTGGGTTTAGTATAGGGTCTGTACATCAGAAGATGAAGGATTTACTTCTGCTGCTGTTTCTGGGGGAAAAGATGTCAGGCAATTTTCCAGCCCTAACACAACCCTTTTAGTTGGCAAATAGTGGCCCTACCTGGCCAGTCCTCGCTTCCTAGTCTCCGACAATGGAAAATAGAAAGAGCTGTCAGTGTCACACTCTTCTCCCAAACCCTTTAAAAAACCCTCAGATGGGAGGCACCTTGGAGACAGCAGAATGATAATAGAGACTCCCATGCTGGAAGACACCAATGATAGAGGTGCTAGAGCATGAAGAAGGCAAGGCGCTATTAGGAACACTGGCAGAAAATACCTGAGGAAGAAAGATGGGATGTTGACTAGGAGGTTCCAGTTAATCGCTCTCACTGTAGAAAATTAATGGGTTTGTTCAGTCAGAACCTCGCCAGCCAAAGTCTTAAGATTCTGTTCCAGAACATGATTGTGAACCAAATCTTGTAGGAGGTTCATATCTCTGGTTCAGACTACAGAGTTTGTCATAATTTGACCTCTGATTTGATTTTTATCTTTCACTTGGAAATTTTAGCTGATTTTTCTCAATCATTGGCGCTGAGTTGCTAGACATGATTTGTATGATGTGAAAGGTGTCATAAATTAGTGTAGTTTTGCTTTTATTTCTGTTAACACCTAGAAAATCAAATAACTTGTTTGACGGGTTTTTTTAAAGAATTAGACTCTGATCAATACATTGCTCTTTGAAAAGTATATTTGAACATATGCTACCTTTGGATTTAATTTCAGCTTCTTACCTCCTTTCACAAAAGCTTTCTTGTGAGATAAATATTTCAAAATCTATAAGTACCATTTGTTTGTACACTACATGTTAGCTGTCTGATGCATAAGATACTGTTCCTCAGGGTACATAAATAGAAGGTCAGCACTAATAAAATGGATAATGCTTGATAAATGGAAGTAAGATTAAGTAGATGAGTTGAATTCTTTATTAGTCATAACCATTTTCAAGTAAGTGATTAGACTGAATAACTGTTTCATAAGGGAAAATGCGTAGGATTTCCTTTCCTGTATTTTAAAATGAAAAGTGATAATGAGAATAATACATTGCATTTATATACTGCTTTACAAAGTTCACGTAATTTATCTCTTAAAACATCAGTCTCCATTAAGAATTATCCCAATTCTACAGATATGAAGATTGACACACAGGATTTAAGTGACTTACCCAAGATCACACAGCAAGTCAATTGTAAAAAATGACTTTAGGACTAGGGGCCTGAGCATGGAATTAGGATTTCCCAAGAGCATACTGCAACAGCATGGTCATTTTTCATAACATAACAGTACTATACAATTGTTTCTCAATAAAAAATATAAAATAAAATAGAAAATATTAGTAGAGGAGATGTAGCATAATAGAACAACTGGAATCCTGTTGTAAAGATACATTTGAGCATCCCTGTTCTGATGGTTATACCCAAATGATCAATAAATGCAATTTCAAAAAACCCTCTGAATTCCCAAATAAGACATATCCTCTGAAGTAGAACTTTTGTCTCAAAAGGACAGAATGTGGTCTTCTCATTCAGTCTGATTAGATTTATCTCTAATAGCAATCCTGCAAGATAGATGTGCTGTTCTACATCGGTAATCATGTGGCACCCAAGAAAGGTGTAAAATTCTTTCATATCTTTGGAAATAAACAATAAAAATTACAGAAATTACTTCTAATTTGTTTTTCACACCTGAATGTCCCCTGCGTAGAATACATGAGGCACAAATATGTCAGCTACACTATAAAATAGCTTTTGAAAAATCACTTTGATCCATTAATGAATTATCTATGTAAAATATGGTTATTAACATTGAGATATCCAATAGTTTGAGCCAGGGGTGAACATGAGAGCATCTGTGGGCCAGATCTGGCCTGCCAAGTGGGTTGATCTGGCCCATGGCCACCCTGCCACTCCCCTGTCCCTAGGCCAATCGACACCTGTGATCGGGGGCGCGCGCGAAGTCTCCTCCCCAGCCAGAGATGCACGGTGCCTAGAGTGAACCGCCAGCTGTTTTAAACAGGTGGCGGTTCACTCTAGGGTCCATTTTCAGGGTGGGAGCAAGGCAAGAGAGATTTCACATGCTTTCCTGCCCCCAGACTCTGGTTGGCCTGGGTGTGGAGGGAGCTCACAAAGTCTCCTCCCACCGCCAGGGGTGCACGGTGCCTAGAGGAAACTGCCAGATGTTTAGAACAGCTAGTGGTTCTCTCTAAGCACTGGGGGTGGGAGGCAAAGCCTTCACATGCTCCTGCCCCCAGGCTAATCAGGATCTGTGAGTGAGAGGGAGGATCATGGAAGTGTGCAGACTACACCCCTTCTGCATGGGGCCCTGCCCCCTCTGGGGCGGCCTGGGACTACTTCAAAAATTTGTGAAGTGGTCCCCTTCTAAAATTATTGCCCATTACTGGTTTAATTGGTTTTACCATTATATTTTAAAAAAATGAAATATCCAAAAGCTAATTTTGGTAACAACAACCTAATTTACTATAACGCAAAACAAATCTGGAAACTCAGCATTCAAGGTTAAGATCTGTTCTTACCAACTTAAATATCATAGAAGTTTATTTGAATGTATTAAATGTTCAAGGGACTTAGTGACTGCTGCTGTCTTACAACTAACCATTTGAAGTATTTTTTCAAATTTAAATTGTTTTACACAATGTGCACATAAGGAAGCACCTCAACTTCGTAATGTTTTACTGTTGTCACTTTTACAATCTAAAAACACTTTGCCTTTTTTTATCAACTCCTGCTCAGAAAAATTAGTTGAGAGATAAATGAGTAGGAAAAGATGTTTATTAAAAAATGCTGACCAGTTCTTTTTGGGACTAAAAATGTCTGAATTTTGAAGGTTAGATTAGTCACATGATGAGATTAATGAGAATGACCTACATGATTCAAAACTTCTTTTCAAGCAGGCAATCTGATTAGTTATAAACAAAAATATGGAAAAACAGTGTTGATTATATCTGAATAAGTAATGTAAAAATCATAAAGATGATTAAAACCCTTGTAAGAATATTGTGTGGTTTTTTTCCCAGTTTTTGCTCTGCCTTCAGTCTCATACTTCTATTCTTACACAGGGTTGCGGGATCATGCCTTTCTACATCCCTTTCTGCTCCAGAGAACTTTAATAGTGACTGCCTGGGCTTTGGGAGATGGAAATTCAGTGGGGAAAACAAAACAACTATTTTTGTACACCAATTTGCTAATTTAAGGAAAAAATAAAATATATTCAGGTTTTTTGAGGGCAGGAGAGTAGAAATCTTCAGCTCAAAGAATGGAAGTATGAGGCAAGAGAAAACAAAAGCAGGGAAGAAAAACTGTATTTTAAAGGGAGGACCATAGTAGAAGTTTACATTTTTAAAGCGTCAGGCCTGGTCTATACAAGGACCTTAATCCAAAATGTCAGGCCTGGTCTACACAAGGACCTTAATCCAAAATAACACCCCCAGAAGTTCAAATTTGTAAAAAGTGCATCCATACTACCAAGCCCATTATTCTGAAATAAGGGCCTATGGAATTCGAACTCTGTACTCCTGCTTTTCATGAGGAATAACACTAATTCTGAACTTCTATGTCCAAAATAACATTTGCGCGGACACTCCAGTTTTGCTAATTTGAAGTAATTGGCCTCCGGGAGGCCTCCCACAGCTCCCCAAAGTATTTCCCAGGGGCACTGGGTCCACGATAGGGTGTACACATTAATGGAGCCTGTCACAGACTAATTTCAATGCTGAAATATTGCAGATAACCATCGCCTTGATCCTGCAGGGATAGCCAAGTGAGCCTATAATGGTCCCTCAGGGTATGTCTACACTACAGCACTAATTCGAACTAACTTAATTCAAATTAGTTAATTAGAAATAAGCTACTTTGAATTAGTGCATCTAGACCTAAAAACTAATTCGAATTAGCATTTTGCTAATTCGAAAAAGCATGTCCACATTGGACCCTGAACCGAAGTTAAGGCTGGCCGGAACCAGTGTCAGCAGGGCATCAGGTTAGAACTTAGGGTGTAGAGCTGCTGCCTCAGGCTAGCCGAGGGCTGTGCTTAAAGGGACCCGACTCCCACCCCAGACAGACAATTCTCAGGGTTCCCCGCTTGCTTGTCGAACTCGATGAGGGACAGCAAAGCAGTCCTAACTTGGAGTGCCCTGAGTGCCCACACTCGGCACATCACAACACTTGGCCATCAGCCCAGCTGTACTTGCTGCAGGCTGCCATCCGGGGGGGTCAATCGGGGGGCTGGCAGGATCCAGGAGGCCCTGCAGGAGAGCTTCCGCCCCAAGGAGCCCACAGAGCCACCCCAGTACTCCCCATTGGGGCCTCGTGCCCCATTCCTCCCTCACATCCTTCCACTTACCCTTCCCTAGCCCTCCTTCCTGAAGGAAAAAATAGAGGACACGTGTGTTCAAAAATAGAAACTCTCTTTAAGAGGGTGAAAGAGGGGAGGGGGAAACCTGGGAGGAGGGAGCTGGAAGGGGGAAGCCAGGGGAAGAAGGAGGAGGGGAAGTATAAAACTATGGTATGCCATATTTTCAGTACTGTGTACAGATGTGGTCTCCTCACCTCAAAAAAGATATTTTGGCCTTGGAAAGTGTTCAGAAAAGGGCAACTAAAATGATTAGGGGGTTGGAACAGGTCCCATATGAAGAGAGGCTAAAGAGTCTGGGACTTTTCAGCTTAGAAAAGAGGAGACTTAGGGGGGATATGGTAGAGGTATATAAAATCATTAATGGTGTGGCGACGGTGAATAAAGAAAAGTTCTTCATTAGTTCCCATAATATGAGGACTAGAGGACACCAAATGGAATTAATGGACAGCAGGTTTAAAACTAATAAAAGAAAGTTCTTCTTCACACAGCACATAATCAACCTGTAGAACTCCTTGCCACAGGAGGCTGTGAAGGCCATAACTATAACAGAGTTTAAAGAGAAGTTAGATAAATTCATGGAGGTTGGGTCCATGGAGTGCTATTAGCCAGGTGGTAGGAACGGTGTTCCTGGCCTCTGTAGAAGGCTGGAGATGGATGGCATGAGACAAATGGCTTGATCATTGTCTTCGGTCCATCCCCTCCCGGGGTTCCTGGTGGTGGCCGCTGTGACAGACTACTGGGCTAGATGGACCTCTGGTCTGACCCAGTATGGCCATTCTTATCTTCTAAGCTCAGGGCTCAGGGTCGGGGGTCTCACTGGAACAACTTGATTTTCATGCAAACCTGCTTCTGGGTTCGCATGTGGCCTTTGGTGGCCAGGCTGGCAGCTATCCTGCCCTAGACGGCTGCATTCCTGTGCCTAGTGTGGAGATCATGGACGTTGGAGGCCTCCCCCCAAACCTCGATGAGGTCCACGATCTCTGCACTAGACCAGGCAGGCGCCC